AGTTCAAATAGTTTGGTCTTGTTTGGAATGCTATGGGCTGAACTATCAGAGTGAGTGGAGCTAAAAAATTTTTTTAAAAAGATGCCATTCTTCAGAACTTCCTGGAAGGATACTATAGAACTTCTTGAAAGCATCTGGTTGATTACACTCAGGTATAATGTACTTATTCATTCATTGTCTCTGGCATTAGCTAACCAGATACTTCTATAGAATGGTATGACAACCATGGCAGACAAGGAAGCACATTCTTAAATACAGTTCAAACAAGAGTAGCATGAGTTCATTTTAAAATTGAAGGAAGAGATGGATAATTTATGCCATCGAGAAAGGAATTTTAAAAAATGAAAAAGATGCAACTTAAAAATCAGCTCCAAATATATCTGAAGTTTAACTAATATAATACCTTTTTAACCTAGCTCTATACATTATATAAAGGCTGTTGCAAAGGAATTTGCTCCAGAAGGCAGCAACAGAAATAATCTTTTTAAAAAAAATATGAAATTACAAAGACTAAGAATTCTTGATCATGGCTGGATTTGTACATAATGATAATCATAATTTAGTACAGGACTGGGCAACCTGCAGTTCATAAGTTTTGCAATTTCCTTTGGAGCCCCCTAATCATTATTCATTGATAATTGGTAACAGTGCAGTTACCGGTAATTTGAAGCCAAATGACCAAGCAAACTCTTTCTTATGTAACTGCTTTAAACTGTGAGGGTTGATATTTATCTCTAATCTGATAAAAGTATCCTTTAACTTTTGCAGGTTATCAGTGGACACTTAGGATGGGTGAGATGTATTGCAGTTGAACCAGGAAATCAGTGGTTTGTTACTGGCTCTGCTGACAGGACTATAAAGGTGAGATACTAACTTAATTGTGGTTCAGTACTTTTTCTATTACTTCAGTAATATACTTCATTATAGTACTTCAGTAATATCCACTTCAGCATATTTTATTATCTTCAATCTTTTTCTATAGCCCAAATTGTTTAATTGTATTAGTATTCCCAAACTGGGATTAATATAGAAAATTAATTTCTACTATCTTTCTATTATCATGAAGAGATGTATTTTGTATTCTGGTAAGATCTTTGAGATGTTGCTCAGTTAAACGAGTCACTCTGGTGAGGAATGGTGAACTGACATTCCGCAGATCGCAGGAGACATTATGGCTAAAAAGGAAGCTAGATGCGGGATCCAGACTGCTGAAATGTTCTCCAGATTAATGAGGGATCTTGAATTACTTATATGTTCTCTAGACAGCTGTTTTTTGTGAGTAGACAGCAGAAACTGATGTTTTTGCAGTCACTTGCAATCAGCTGGAAGTTGCAGGATTCTATCGTGCTCAGAGCTGTTAATGTAGCCTTTTTTGAGTTCAACCAAACCTCATCTTTTTAATCACTTGAGAGGTTTTTTTCCCCTTATTTTTTTTGTTAAAGATTGAAAAACCTTCAGAACTGCAAATCTGGTATTCGCTGGGTGAGTTTCTCTTTACTCCGTCTAGAAAGAAAGAAAATTATGTGTTTAAAGTTTTGTAAGAATTTTCTTTTTTAGAATATACAGCAAAAGGGTGATTATAGTGTTAGTTTTGAAAAGTTTTTAAACAGATGAAGGATTCAGATGAATATGAATTAAGGAAAGACTTTGAAGTTAATTAAAAGGATCCTCTCATGGGAAAAGTACTTTTGTTTACATTTGAACTGATAAGTCTTTGAAGGTCAGACACTAGAGGGCACCAGATGGCTACCTTAAAGGAAATGTTTGATGTTTAAGTCCAAATGTTTGATGTTTAGTTTATGAGCTATTTAACTCTTTAATGGAATCAGTGTTATTGAAGAGAAACAAGCCCCATAGAATAAAACTGAAATGGACTTTAACGTGGAATTAAAAATTACAGTTTACAAGAAAGAGATGGAAATACTGGATTTACAAATAGAATTGGAAGATGACTTAAAAATTAAAACAGATATACAAATAATAAATTGAAAGAGCGATGTGGATTATTTTCTTATCTTGGAATATAAGGGATCTACTGGAGTTACTATACAGGAATTACAAAAGGACTTTGGTAAAGTTGACAAGAATTTCAAGAGAAGAGACAGAGAATGTGAGAAAGCAGGCGTTAGAACTTTATTTGTGGGACTTAAAGATCTCTGGGAGAAAGAAGAAAAAATACAAAATTGGTTTATTGGATCATGGTTAAAATAATGGGTCGCTATCTCTGGTGATGTCTAATGGTTTTCTTGACTAGGATTAGGTGATGAAAGTTATTTTTGGTAATGTTTAATTGGGTGTAATGGATTAATTTGTAATACCTATGTTGTTATTTTTGATATATAAATAATGGGTTATTATTTCTGGTGGTTATTTTTTTTAATTGGGACTGGGTGATGATAGTTATTTTTGTATTTGAAGAGAGGGATTGGGGGAATTTGTTTAAATGGAAATGGAGATATAAATATTTAAGTTATCATCTCTGATAACCCTTACTGGACTTTTGCTGATTAAGGAGAGCTGAAGATTTAGAGATGGACTTAAAGCACATGGGGTGAGGTATGGAATGAAGAAGTATTTGGTTGTTTTTTTAAGAGACAGTGATAAGTTGTTAATGTTGATTATACTTGCTGGGAATGAAGGAGAAAGTTTCTTCTTCTATTTTCTTCCTTCTTTTTTTCATTTTGTTTTGGTTTTTCTCTGGACTTTTAAATTTAAAAAAAAAGTGTGTGTGTATGTGTTTATTTAATGTATTTCTGTATTATGTTGTATTAGTTTTACTTGTTTTATATAATCTTCAATAACATTATGGAAAAAGATGTTGCTCAGTTAAATTAACAGACTTTGATGTGTGTTATTTCAAAAAACATCAAAGGTATATTTTTCTCATTACAGATTTGGGACCTTGCAAGTGGCAAATTAAAACTGTCTTTAACAGGACACATTAGTACAGTTCGAGGTGTAATAGTGAGTGGAAGAAGTCCTTATCTTTTCTCATGTGGGGAAGATAAACAGGTGAAATGCTGGGATCTTGAATATAATAAGGTAACTAAATAAATTAGCAGCACTTGGAATCTTTCAACAAATGTAATGATCATGGAACATTCACTGATTGAAATATGTTTATGCGCAGGTTATTAGGCATTATCATGGCCACCTAAGTGCTGTGTATGGTTTGGATTTGCACCCAACAATAGATGTGCTTGTAACATGTAGCAGAGATTCAACTGCACGTGTAAGTGAAGCAGAAATATTTATAATGTTTAAGAAGCTTGTTCTCCCTGTGGAAACTAGTGTGTGTGTGTGGGGCGGGGCATGTCATTAGCTATTTATACTCCCTTTTCAAAAACTTCAGATTCTACTAATTCTCTTCAGTCAAATAAGAAAAATATTTAAAGATAGAAGGTAAATTATCTGTAATCCATGCATTTGCAGCCCCAGCATTGGGCCATTGAAATACTTTTCCAAAATGACCAAATTTGGGGAGTACTATTTAATACTTTTTGTTTTAAGGGAAGGTGGTAGAAATAAGAGAGACAAGTCCCTGGGGAGCAAACTGTTATAATCCACACTTCACCCCAAAAGGCAAACAAAAATAAGCTGAACAGTTTCAGCTCTGTCCCTTCCAATGACGTGACCTTGCCAGTGGAGGGAAGTGCCTGCTATTTCCCTACACAAATATTGTCCTTGCTGTATATAGGAGTTTGTGTTATTAAGGTCAGCAGAATCCTGAGTGATAAGCTCATAATTATATACAAATGGTAATGTTTGTTTGATAAAGATTGTTTATAACCTTTGTATTGTTGTACTTGATGTTCAAATTTGTGATCTTATTAGATTTGGGATGTAAGGACAAAAGCGAGTGTGCATACATTGTCAGGACACACGAATGCTGTGGCAACAGTGAAGTGCCAAGCAGCAGAGCCACAGATTATCACAGGTATGATGAATGCTGCTTGTTAAAGTGGAACATAATTCAGTAAGTCAATGCTGTAGCCAACTTGCATGCAGGTGCTTGTGGCTTTATGAAGTGCTAGCTTCCATTTGCTATGTTCTAGTTGAGCATTTGTAGTGATATTCGAACAACGTAAATATTTTAAATCTGCATGTAACTGAGAAGCTCTGGGTATAAACAAGTATGAAGTAGAAGGATTTGTTTCTTACGGATTTTATTAGATATTATGGATTGTAGCTAGTACTTATCATGCAACAGGCAGATTTGTTAAGTTTTGAAAAACTATCTTGCAAAGGAGGAGAAGGTATTTCAGAAAATCAGCTCTTTACTGCTTTGGCTATACGAATAAGGCGCATAAATGAACTATAATACATACATATATCTTCTGTGCAGCAGTTACAGCTGTGGTTCCTGGCACCTTCCCTGGAGCTGTAGTAGAATAGAGAGGGTAGTGCCCTGCCAATGTCATAATTGTCGTTGGCAGCATGCAGTATGATCTCTATATTACTGTAGCATGTAGTGGGGTCCCAGAAGTAATTCCACTATCTCTACCACCCTTCTTATCTTAATAAGACTCAATACAGCTGGAAGATTCTCAAGTACAGGGGAAACAGAAACACTGAAGACTAACAAAATGTGGTCAAATTATTTGTCTATATTACCTCTTAAGTATATTACCTCTTCTTCACTACAGGAAGTCATGATACCACCATACGTCTCTGGGACTTGGTAGCAGGAAAAACACGGGTTACTTTAACAAATCACAAGAAATCGGTTAGAGCAGTCGTCCTGCATCCGAGACAGTAAGATTTTCCATGGTTTTTAAAACATGTTTTTTAAACAGTAAATATAATTTTTTAGCATAGGTAACTCAGACTACCAGTCATGAACTCAATACTGTATTGCTTGTTTAAGACAACACTAGATTTAATTTGCTCCAGTAGTTGTAACTCTCATATTATTGCAGCCTCACATGACCTTATGGGTCTTTGATCACTGCCTGAAATTTCCCTTCATCAAGGCCAGAGGGTTTGTGTGCAAACGTTGGCACTGTATACAGCGTAACAAGATTAAAGTATACAAGCTTAAAGCTGCAATCTCATATGTGCTTACTTAGACCTGTTCTATTGAAATCATTGGGGAAGAGTTTTGTGTTTATTCTTAGATGTAAATAGTTATTCTCTACACAGATAAAGGCAAAATATATTCTGCCATCTTTGCTCCCATTTTTCCTCAGAGTAAGTGAGACTGAGAATGGTTAGATTTGCACATCAAACTAAGCCATAATTTGATTTCTTTCATTTAGACTTGGCACATGTGAATCAACTCACTATGGCTTGTAAGATTACAGGAAAATACATTCTAATATTCTGCTCACCAAATAGAGCTATTTATTTGGGGAAAATGTAGTTTTGAATCTACTTTCCATTCAGTAAACCTTTGATTTAATGATCTTTGGTTTAGTACTCTAAAGATACAGTGGACAAAATATATCTGTATGCTATATGTTTTTATGTATGCATAAAATCCCACCTGCCATTTTATACTATGTAAAATATACATGCATAAAATTCCATTCCTGTTTAATGCATGTATAACATCCCATTCAGATTTAACAATATTTGGCTTTAACAGACATCCCATCCCTGACTGACTCATTAGTCAGTTACTTTGTTTTCAGATAAGCAGTGCTACAATGCTTGAATTCAAGGGTGAAGGATTTTGGCTTTCCAGTTGCTGCTGAATGTCAGGTCCCACATGCCTTGCCTTACCATTAATAATGCTGACTGAGATTACCAGAAGTTGTAATTCAATAATATCTGGAAACCAAAGTTTCTCTATCACAGGAAATAATTTAGAGGAAACATTTTTAACTATTGAAACTGTAATAAACCTGGTAACTTTAAAAACCAATAATGAAATAGTGTAGGCTAATTAGACATCCAATAGTTACTAAGGTCTTAATATACATTTTCTTACAGGTACACATTTGCATCTGGGTCTCCAGATAACATAAAACAGTGGAAATTCCCTGATGGAAATTTCATCCAAAACCTTTCTGGCCATAGTGCTATTATCAATACATTGTCTGTGAATTCAGATGGAGTCCTGGTTTCTGGAGGTAAATTAGAATTGTATATGTGGTTTGAAAGGCAAATCCTATTTTGCTATTATGCACTGTAAGACTCTTGATACAGGACTGCCTTTTGTGTGCTATTCTAAAACTCTGATTATTTAGAACTTATTGGCTGACTTAATGATTAGCATAGAACATCATGCTGGAAGTATGTAATATGGTTTCCAATTGATTTTGGCCCTTAATTTTGGGGAAGCTAACCTGTGACCATCCAGATGATGTTAGACTATTGTTCCCATCATGTCTAACCATTAACCATGCTGAGTTCAACGACCCTGGGAGTCCACAGGTTCCCCACTTCTGCTTTAAAATATCCTTGCCCAAATTGTGAGCATCTTCTCTCCTATAAGACTTTCCATGCACAAAGACAACCAGTGAATATATTTACTTCAAATTCTGGTACTTGCTAAAATCTGATGTGGGCAAGGAGCTCAACCTTCCCAAAGTTGTGCTGTGTAACTCTCCACTAGGGGTAGTGCATCATGCCAGCTTTTTAGTTTTTCTTCCTAAAGACAGCAATACAGGGTTATTTCAACAAATGTTTTCACAGTAGTAATTTCATTTTTCAGCTGCTGGTCACTGCAAACTGCTTTAACAGACAGATTTGGAGCATTTTATGGTTGGTTCTTTTGGGACTGAATATTTAATTAAAATGCTTCCTAATGAAAACTAAGCATCCAGTAATTAGTTACATTTTTTATTTTTTTAAAAAATATTTTTATATTTAAAACAGTATGTATCATATAACCATGTTCTTAGGGCAGCTTTCAATGAAAGGAAATTCAAGCCCATATAAAAATGTATACTGGGATAAAATAGTAAAGCAGGTTTAGTCTGAGAAAAGAAACACAGATAATATAAAAGGTCTCTACCTGGTACCAGTATATCAGAAGAGGAGTCCTGGGGAAGTTCCGCCCCTCCCTGGGCTTTCTAGTCAGCCTTCCTTGGTCAGGTACCCTAGGGTTATGTTTGGCCGTAATATAACTCCCATCATTCTCACTCATATGTACGTAGCTCAGTACATGAGAATGGCCCAGGCTAGATTTGTGTAATATATTAACTGCAGGTAGCAAGCATTATTTTCTCATACATACTATCTGTATAAGCTATAGAAAAATAAAATAGTATGTCTCGGTAGAGCTACTTATAATGTTTAATTATATTTATGCTCCTAGAAGTCAATCCTAGAGGGGCAGAGAAATGCATAGAGGGGCATAGAAAGGGCATAGAAATGGATTGTTAATCCCGTTATGTAGAAGTGAATTGTGTGGATGCAAATAGATCTGTATTATGATGCATGTAGTCAGTCTTAGGCATATCTGTACTGTATACTTGGATTGTAATTTTGAATGAACTTACCAATGTTTTATTTTCAGCTGACAATGGTACAATGCACCTTTGGGACTGGAGAACTGGATACAACTTCCAGAGAGTGCATGCAGCTGTACAGCCTGGCTCTTTGGACAGTGAATCTGGAATATTTGCTTGTGCATTTGACCAATCTGAAAGCAGACTTCTTACAGCTGAAGCCGATAAAACTATAAAAGTCTACAAAGAAGATGATTCTGCGGTATGAAAGTGGAATCTTTTTAATATATTTTACAACATAAAACTAAGTTAAAGATACACTTAGTACACGTTCTGAAATTAATCTCAAAAAGATGCTTAAGGCTGAAGTATTTATTAAATAAGGTTAGCAAGCATGTTTCAGCAGCAAACATCTTAGTGAGTGGAAACATTCTTTTAAAAAAATGAGGGTTTATAAATTGAGTTCAGTTGCTTGGAACTTTCCAGCAACAGAATAAAATAATATGCTTTTGCATTCTTTTCTTCAATTTCAGTAGAGTAACTGTGAGAACACTTAATGTGGTCAGGTTTCAACCCTACTTCCATTCAGTATGGCAGCATGTAGTGATGTATAAAGGAAGAAACATGGAAACAAGCAAACTGTCAAATTCTGGTAGTTCACAAGTGACAAGAAATCACTCTTGGACTGTTTAGCAAAATTTCTGATCAATGTTAATAGTAAAATAGAATACTGACTTTCAAAAACAGTTGTAATTCTTCTGTTTCTAGACCAATACTGTGGTTTATGTGAAAGATTTCAGTGGGACCATTTAGATCTTCCCCCAAACCTTTAATCATGGGTAACTTGGGATGAAGTAGGAAATAAAAACATTTGTGTCCTTTGTGACACCATAAGTCTCTTTCTGTTCCCATTAAAATTGACAAAGAAATGGAGAATATTTTACTGAAGGTATGGTATTGAGTTCCTCCTCAGCTAGAGTTTAATTGGGAAGTTAGTACAAGTTACTATTCTAAGTAAGAAAGACCAAAGTACTCTGTTGGCATATCATTTGGGATTTCATTCAGAAATTTACTAGAGCCAGTCTTTGGAAATGTGTAACTGTAGCATGTGCAAAGTTAGAATTGGGCTAGAACTTTTTTTTTTCTTTAATCTCTCCAGACTGAAGAAACTCATCCTGTTAGCTGGAAACCTGAAATCATCAAGAGAAAACGATTTTAATGAGACCAAACCTGCATTGATGTGCCATAATCCTGACTCTTTGTTACAAAGCCGAAACACTGCTAAAGTCATTGCTTCAGTTTGCAGTTTTTATATTCTGTATTGCTTTCCTCTAGGAGTTTATCTTTTCTCTGATCCTAGAAAATCAGCTGCAGCTGTTACACATGTCTGAAGAAATCAGAGTACATTAAATAGTAGTAGAGCGCTGCTGACTGTAATCATCAAATGTTTGCATGTCTTTCTGTGTGGACAGAAGGTAGTGCTCTTTTCCTTCTGTCTTCTTCCTTTGATGGAGAAGTAACATTTGAAATTTTGATGATTTTTTAAAAACGTATTTAGTACTCTCTCCCGGGACTCTGAATAGTAAAATTGTCAAGGAAAAACAAAAGCCATTGTAGTAATGATTAATGTCCTTAATACAATGTGCTGCTTTGTTAAGGTGTAATGCAATAAATTTCATTTCCCCTAAAATTAGAAGACTGAACTGCAGTCTGATATGTTGAATGTACATCATTCTGTTTGAGTCATGGTTTTATTTTTGCCTATCCCGTATTGGAATCCTCATTAAAATTTTAATGAAGCAACCTTTTAAAAATGACTTGATGTTTGTCTCTTCCATTTTTACATTCTCACTTAGAAAAGCTTAAAAACAAAGTGAATGTAATACATTGGAGAGGATATAGAATAATTTTCTGAAACAGCATACAGTATGCTTTTCAGCTGAAATAAAAATGGCCTCACATATAGTGGCAAAGTGTTCCTTATTTTGGTTTATGAGTGTGGCCCATCATACAAAATTGAATCTTGCTTCTGGGTAGCATGATCTCCAGGCATAGCTTTTCAGAGAGTGAGAGGAGCTATGTTAAGAGGGACTGGAAAAGTCACTGTGCACCTCTTTTTTCCTCTTTTGGATTTTGCTTACTATTTGGAGAATGTACCCAATATCGGTTGAAATCCTAAGCTTTCTTTCCCCTCCCACTTTAATTTTCATGTGAGTTGTAACAAACACAAGTTGGATATAATTGATATACTGTCTTAAACTTTCTAAAAATGTTAAAAGTATGTATTATATATGCTTGTATACATTGACATGTAATATTGTCAGTAGCATGCTTGATTTGTAAGGTACTGTTATTGACCTGATTTCCATATAACATCTGAAGCTATTGATGAGTAAGTTTTGATAAAAGTATGCAAATGTTGTAGAGAGAGCTTTTGTTACAAAGATCATATATGTTACAAGCGTGTGATAATACATTTTTAAATACCTTTAAAAAATTGGAGTAGTTTTCACTTTTCCTTAATACCCTGACTCAACTAGGGATCATTCTGAAGCTGTGGTCCATAGCTTATATATATAGCAAGATAATCAATTACACTTAATACCAAGTAGAAGAACTTAGGATTTTATGGTTCAAGTCTCTGTTAAATGAAATTACTACATTGCATTGGTACATTTTTAAAAATCAGCCAGAGGCCATAAGCCTAAATAGAGCATATCACAAATTTATGTCCTTCTGTTCATACTAAGAATTATTTTACTCTTCATACTACAGGTAGTCCTCGCTTAACAAACGTTCATTTAGCGACCATTCAAAGTTACAACAGCCTCAGAAAAAGTGCTCTACAACTTGTACTCACGCTTATGACTGTTGCAAACCATCACACCACCCCCCACACTCACATGATCACAATTTGAGATCACTTTACGAGGGTCATAAAGTGAATAACTGCAGTCATTAAGTGAATCGCCATTAAGCAATCCACGTGGTCATTACGCATATTCCAGCAAAAAAGTCCATTGGGGAAGCTGGATTCGCTTAACATCCATGTGATTCGCTTAACGATCACAGTGATTTGCTTTACAACTGTCATAAAAATGGTTGTAAAATTGGGTCTAGTCACATTATGACCTCCCCGCTTAACAACCAATTTTCCAGTCCCTATTGTGGTCATTAAGCGAGGATTACCTGTAGAGAATTCTGTGAGAAGGAGCTAAATGTTTCACTTGTGCAATTGCAGTTTGAGAAGAATCTGTGATAGAAACTTTCTGTAATATAATTTTAATTTTAATATAATCTTTTGTCCAAGCATTTGTGGCAAGCTATTTTCCTTATGTTTGTCATTCTTTGGGTCACATTCAAAGTGTTTCTACTTATAAACAATTGCTTAATATGTTGAATAACCAGTTATTAATATTTTAATTAAAAACAGTTGTATTCTATTTGGAAAAACTTCATAACATTTGCTCCTTGGCCAATGTGCTCTGAAGCTTTGGCAAGTAAATTAATATATTCTAGTGTTTTAGAAAGTAACCATTCTTTGCATTTTTTTTAAAATAGTGTCTCAGAACAATGAACTGGAGCTAGTCTCAGGAGCAATGTGCAATTCTACATCAGTGAGAGCCTTCAATATGATCCTTACCAAATAATCTTCCTGGAGCTCCAGGGAATACCTACTCAGACAAAATTCCAGGCAGTGTCTTGAGTACAGTCCTACTCTCCAGGAGCAATACATAAGAAGGATAAATGGGCAGGTATATAGAGCACCAAACAAAATAAGGGTGGAGACTTTCCAGAAGGGCTAAGCTAGAAATTTGATTTCTTATTCAAAGCTGCTTGGATTTTCCATAACATTTGTTAAAGAGGAAATTTAGGATTTAGAGAAATCCTAAATTTAGAGAAATCATTTAGGATGCCATTGGTCAACTATCAATAGATGTTTCTGAAACACTAAATCCAGAGAAGACTAGGAACTTGGTATAAATAGCACAATGGTTATTTCAGTTGATATGAAGACATTCATCTTTATATTAAGAAGCATCAGAACTATTGTAAATGCTGACTTGCACAACTGCAACACATTTTAAAGAAATAATGCTTATAACATTTTTTAGGATCACACTGTAGGCACAAAGGATATAAAATCTCACTTGAACAAGAGAACAGCCCAATTTGCTCTGTTAATCATGTAAAGAATTGCATTGAGGGTTGAGTAGAATGGTGATCATAGAAGATAATGTCATGACTAAATTGAGATATCATTTCTGGATTATGATCATGGAGGCATACAAGGGAAGAGTTGATCTTGTTTACTATCTTGAGGTATAGTCAGGCAGTAATATTTATTTAGTCTATACTGAGGCATAAAAATCCTGGTCAAAAATCCTTGCTTTATAAATTTTCCTTTGCTCTTCAGAATAAAAACAGTGCTGATATTTAAACAATTTGTCTGGAATATATTAAATACTAGCAATGTCTGACTTCATAACTTAATTTTAAAAGCAGAAAATGTTTGATTTTTTACATTTATTTAAAGGAAAAATACAGATTTTGTTCTTCGGTATTTCATTTGTTCGGCTTTTATCATTATTGCCATTGGTGAAGGAACAGGAGTTGCTCATATGTTGGGCTGAGACAAAAACTGCACTGAAAGTGTGTTAAAGGAGAATATTTATTTACTTGGCTGTTGTAAGAATATTATAGTAATCAATTTATGCATGAAAAGTGTTTAAAAGAATATCTCTTCCATGTCAGTGCAAGGAATTACTAAATGTTGCACTGAAAGTGCTGGTGAGACATATTCCCCCCAAAAGAACCAAGGACTAAATGCACTTCACAGGAACTAAATTTCATTCCATTCAGTGAAATTTACTTCTAAGTACACGGGTATATTACTCCACTATAATGAGAACCAATAGCAACTAAAATTAATGATCTGTATTGCAATAAGCGACATCTCTTAGATAAGAAATCTTGGAAATTTTTGTGGTTAATTTTCTTCAGATTAAACAGAGTTCCGTGTTTGTCGATACATAAAGATAGACCCATCAAAATCAGGAAGTTTAGTTCATGCTGCATTGAAAGTGAGACCACATGATTCCTGCTAGTGTATCTCAGATTGTAATTATAATTCAAACAATGTTTTCATATCCAATGGAATGTTCTGTTGTGAATTTGTAGAAATACTCATTTTTTACATCACCAGTTTGTTTTGCTTGTAAATCTAGATAAATATGGGAAATGTAGGCTCTTGTAGTTTAATTGCAACATTTTTTATTTTTAGGAAATTAAAATAGAATAAGTTTCCTGTATATACTCCAGCATGCAGTGTAAATTTAGAATAAAGATGCTACTATTTGTTAATGGAAGAATGGACACAGAAAGTATTTTGTTTTAGAAAACCCCAAATATTGGTCATATTTGCAATTTATGACATGAATAAAACTTGAATTAGAGCAATATTTTGTACCTGTTTAGAACTCACTCTAAATAACTGACATTATTTGGACAAACACATATTGGAATTTTGGGGATATTCACATTAGAAAAAATGATATTTGCTTGATATTGCTGCAAATAATGTGACAAATGTTCTACTGCCCATACTAAGCTTCCAGGGTGTTAAGATTTTCTTCAGAGGTTTTCCTTCACAAGAGAAATAACTATATTGACTGAAATTAATCTTATTATGTGGAACTTCCTTATTTAAGCATCTAAATAAGAAAAGTTGGGGGCTAAAAACATTCTTACCATCCTAAGCCTAATTTTTTTAGGGTTTTATAAAATTAGACTATACCATACAATTTAAAAGTGAAAGCCTTCAGATTATGCTTCTCGGGGAAAAGAATAACCTAAAATAAAATTTACGTTTACAATGTATGCCTTAAATGTCAGCTTCTAAATTAATAATTCAGAATTCCTTTAAAATTCACCCTTTGGATCATCTTAATGAGAACATTCATATTTGCAGAAACAAATCCGCATATAGTCAAGTAAGCTATTGTTACAGTGCTCTGGCTGTCATTGCCATTCTTTAAATACTTGGTATTGATACTGTTCTTTGACAGTGTTATCTAGAACAGGCTAATGTGAGTTTTAAAACTGGTTAATCCCAATTTTGGTTTATTTTGACACATTTCTTTCTTAGGTTACCAGTTTTGGAAGTCAGCTGAATTTGAAATGAAGTTTGATAACTTTTCCAGAAATGTTGATCTGAGTGTCTTAGACACCATGCGTACTGCAACTAAAAAGAGAAGTCTCTACTTTCTTGGCCAATATGAAAGCATACTGACAGAGAAAAGATAATATCACCACTAAGGCTGTGAAAATGCAGCATAATTCTGTAACTTTAAAGTAGCTTCAGGGAAGTGTCTGCCTCAACTGTGCAATACCAGAAACAGCTGTGGCTGCTTTAATGAGCTGCAGATAGGTGCTTGCTATGCTCCTCTTAAATGGGAAGGACCTCTTCCCGTTTAAATCTGAAGCACTGCACAATTCTAGTTGTTACCACATCCGCTTCATCACAGAAAATCTGATTTTCCACAGGCTGAGTTCATCTGATAAAGTCATGGTTTAACTTTGCTTTATTGAATAAGCAGCAGTTTGCTAGATTTTTCCCAAAATGCTAAACCATGTTTTATATATTATAAAGGCTGGATTCACACAACCTACTAAGTCAAAATCAAGCAAACTAAGTTATACATTAGTATGAAGTATGAACACCAGCCATAGAGCATTCTCCTCCAAGCTGTCTAGTATAAACAATGTTAATAAAAAATAGTCTGTTTTTTAATCTAACAT